GAGATGCGCGCTTATTTGGAAAGATGATGGCGTGCACGTTGTCTCTTTTGTGAACACGGAAATTAAAATGAAACCCTTGTTGAACGAACGGATGAATGCGGTGTCATATCGCTTGATGTATGTAAACCAGAACAAATATTTACTTATATCATGTAAACTTTCCATTGTTGTTAGAAGTGTACAGCAGTTCTGAAGAAAATTTAATCCAACGATATTTTTGTTACGATAACATAAATCAGTTAATATCTGTTTATACTCCAGTTTACATTTATGGCTTGTATTTTTTATCGTGTAGAGCTACATGCAAATCGTTTCTGGCCTATTGATTTATATTAAATATTTGCAACATCTCACACACACTGTGCATAATGATATGGGCACTGGGCAGTGATGGTTTTTTAGTTTCAGACAACATTTCAACCGGGTCAGCTGGCGATAACAAAGACGAACTTTTATCGTTTGAGTTAACTTGCTAACATAATTTTTGTGTGTTTGTCTGCGTGTGTGAAAGAAATTTGTACAAGTACAAACAAACACAGAGAGACAGACTGAAAGACGAAGAGCAAGCAGTGACCGATGTTATGTTATACATTATATTTGAGTGGGAGGCGTGTATCAGCTAATAAATTGATGGATGATCGTTCATTTGCCAGAACATCACTTACACGCAGGAAATAACATTTTTCAAGCATGGAAAATTGTGTAACATTAAATTACAACAAAAATTATTTTTGTTCTAGTGATGTTTACAAATTTAAAAATTGTTTAGAACAATCAACACAATAAAAGGACAAACAAATATGCAAAAGGTGAACACGGATTGAAATCAAGCACGACGATCGCAGAAGGACGAAGCACTCCAACCTCCCACTTCTTAATAAATCATGTCTCACAACGTCAGTCAAAACACATTAGTGAATTAGTAAAATTCACAATAATAAAAATCTTGTCGTGTTTGTCAGCGTTGACAACATCGTTAAATTGTTTGCACGTCTGTTAATATTGCTGATCAGCGCTGAGTTGCAGCGGGGGAGCTTGCCAGTTTTCTGCACGTTCCATTAATTTCGATAAATTGGAAAAGTTTGTTTTCCTTCAAAATGGCTCCCAAAGTTAGTTTAGATTTACTAGCAAATCGAAACTAACCAAACTGTCGCAAAAACCATAACTCTGTTGCCAAAATATTTGCAATAAAAACTAAAAACAAGATGTGATGTGAAATAATTCAGACAGAGCTAGATTAAACAAAAAGTTTTATGCAAAACAAAAAAAAATCTCCAGCAAAAACATAAAAACATTTGAGACATCTGAAACGCTGACAGACACTTGAAAAAATTTTTGTACGCCGTAAAAAGTGATGCAATTAGGAGAGAACTGAAGGTTGATTGCATAACAGATGTTGTTAACTTCAAACGGCTTGCACATTTGTTAAATTAAAAATGACCAGATGGGGATTTAAAAAAGAATTGTACAACTTGGACCGTAGAGAATAAATACTTTTACATAAAGAAAAGAATGATGGCGTTTTAAATTTGTGTCTACATGTTTAAAAAATTAAATCTATGGAGACAAAACTCTGAATAATTTTTCAAATAGTAGAAAAAAAATCAAAGAAACCAACAAAAAAACAAATCAGCAGTCAGGTTATATGACTTTTTTTTAAATACAATTTCACTGCAAGAGTTGAAAAAAAAATTAGGCTAGCATTTGATAAAACAACAACTTTACATGTTTAAGTCCAATAAAAATAAAACATCGTAACCAACTGCAACATTAACAAATGAAGAAGTTCAGAGAGAAAAGTAGTTATAAATAAGAGGATTAATGAAGGCGAATAGAAGTTTGGTTATTTCTTTCATAATTGAGTTAGCTGGAGAATTATTGTGAAAAAGTTTGAGACTGCCCATGCGTGCATCCTCTGCATGATCTATCATGTATTCAATTCTTTGCCTATTTGCATTGGGTCACAGTCTCTATATACATATCTTCATCGCAGTGGCTTGCTCCTCTACGTCAAAGTAAATAATGCCTGCGTGTGCGTCCGTTGTGTATGTGCTTCTTCATATTAGTAACAAGGCTGCTCTTGATTAATACCACTATGCATCTATGCATATCTATATATACTGTATATATATAATATATGTATATATATATATACAGTATTGTATAAATAACACTGTTTGTATAAAGTATGATTTTCTTCCAACGAATATATATATATATATATATATATTATAATATATAAATATACTAGATATATATATATATATATATATATATATATATATATATATATTTAGGAACGAGGTTTTCGTTAATACATATTTTGTTAAATTTATTTGCCCATTTTGCATTTATCAACTTTTTTATTATGGACTCAACACAGCGTAAATGAGATTTAAACGAATTATGTAAATTATTTGGCGGACATGACAGATAAGATATTAAAAATAAAATTGGAATTGAAAGTGAAGTTAAAATGGTACCTTGCGAAGGATGTAACCTAAAAGATAAATTTAATACTAAAACATAAAATTAAATAAAAGTTACTAATTAATGAAAGGTAAAATAAATGAAAATAAAATTGGTTCGTTTAATTCTCATTTATTTTAATTAAATTTCTTATATTTTATTGGTTTTAGGCTCTGATGATCGCTAGTTAGCCGAAACAACGTTGTCAGCTTCTAATATGTCACAATTTCATAATAAATATGAATGTCAAAAACTACGCTGTGTTGAGTCCATAATAAAAAAGTGGATAAATGCAAAATGGGCAAATAAATTTAACAAAATATGTATATATATATATATATATATATATATATATATATATAGTGTACATAATTAATTATAAATGCATGTGTGTTGTGTGTGTTGTTTATCGATGCACATTGACTTGATGCATTCACTGTTTTCAAAGCTAAATAAATGTTTTGAACAATTTAATTTATAAGAAATAACCCCAACATATTATATATATATATTTATTTATTTATTACAAAAACACACAGTATCTGTAAATACACGTAGAATACGACATCAGACAGACATTGCACGCACATGACCCCCCGCTCAAAACATATAACAAATATAATAAATAGATTGATACTTATTGATATTGATATAGATTGATTGATAGATTGATTGATTGATAAATAGATTGATACTTGACAGAATACACTGTTGGATAGATGGGTACAAAAATAGATATCCAGGCAGATGTGTTGAGGGATAAAATGCTAGCGATACATAAACGGATGGATATATAGATACTCAGATGAATACATTGATGAATAGGAATGCATTTGCAGATACAGAAATTGACAAAACAACATGGGTGGATGCCAGAATAGATATATAGATACTTAGATGATAGATGGAAAAATTGATAGATAGAAATACCTCGACGTCTGCAGATAAGAATAAATAAATATATAAAAAACTTTTTGAAACAGAGATATAACTGACTTCAAGATTGCATGTAAGTGGATACATTGACAGATATTGGATGGATAGATAAAAGATACATTGATAAATAAGGATACCTAGGTAGATACCTAGATAGATGGATATATAACGGGTAAAGAGACACTGGTAAATACATTTATGAATATCTAAGTAGATTGAAAATTAAATGTTATGTTAAATGATTGTTTGAAAGTTGTTGATTAATTGGTGCATGATTGATTGAATGATGTTTTGATTTGCCATTTTGAAATTTGATAATTTGATAAAGGGTTGATAAATTGTTTACTTATTAACGATAATTTCGATGGATTAATGGTTTGGACTGATCAAGTTATTAATATATATATAAAGGTCATTGTTGCAATTTATTGGTTGATTTGATGTCTTCACTTGTTAGCATAATTTTTTGCTAATGTCTCAAATTGGTTGCATAACTTTTTGAATTGCGCAGAGTGCAAAATTTTATGAAAATTTTTGCCACTAAATCCATAAAAGAATTTTGTCATTAAATAATTTATTGTAGCTACATAAGCCGATTAGCACCACACCTGCTCACACACATACACAACACAAACACACACACACACCACAACACACACACACACCACAACACACACACACACACACATATATTCATACACCACACGCACATATGCATGAGGTTACAAACATACCATAATATTAATCAGACACACATTCATATCATGTACGTACACGGACAAAGCAAAATGAACACACAATTACACGTGCACATACGCACATACATTAAACAAATAAACACAAATAGACACATGCACACAATCAAACACATAGTCATTAAACAAAAACACATGCTTCCATGACTAAAACATTATTTTTAAAAAGCTTTTGTCGCTAATGATTTGGGTAACCGTATTATGGAGAATGTCACACGCACACTGCAAATTAACTTAGGTTGCAGGTGTTTATGTTGTTAGCAATTACGCGAATATGTTGAAAAAAGTTTATTCAGTCAAAAATTACTGCTTCACAAATTTCCACCTGACCACAAACATTCGTCTACTATTTGCAAATTTGGATCGTTTGATAGCCCTTTGGCTCCGAGTTTGAAACTGTTTCAATTTTTACTCAATTAAAATATAAGCTGGCATAAAAGTATAAAGACAAGAATTTATGACATGGCAGTAAGTCAGTAAGTTGATTTTATCAACAAATATTAATTCGTTAATTTCACACTCAAATGTAATCTTTTAGAAGCTTTGTAACACGAAGAAAGTTACTTTGATTATAAATTTGCAACGATTTCAAATTATTTTTTTCATTTAAATTATTCTTTTTATTTATCATTTTTTCAAATAATGATAATTCTTGAATTGTCCCAACATTGAACAATTCTCAACAACTGCTCATGGTAAACAATAGAGACAACTTGTTCTTTCTAAATGAAAATAAAATACATCTTTATTGAATGACGTCATGAATGAACAACTTGAATAGCAGAGAGATGCAAGAATGAAACGAGAGAGGTAGCAGGCAAGCAAGCACGAAGGCCTAGCGATGTTATCTCACTTCGTTTTAAATGCTTCCACGGTCTGAGCCACTGTGATGAAAAGATTCAATTTTTTATGACGTAGCTACGCACGTGATTCCAATCTGATTTCTGGTTGGAGGGCTGAGGAGAGTTCAACACAGCGACACAACTCAACATTCGTGCTCATTTTCTACATCATTTTTATAAAATATTTTTGGTAATTTGTTATGTAATGAAAAATTATTCGTTTATAAATATTTAAAACCTCTACATATTCATGTGATTTATGAGCACCTAGAGTACTAAGAACGTATAGGACATCTGCACTGGAGAGTGCTCGCCATCTATTCACACGGACACTCATGCACTCGTCTGAACTGGGAGCACAAGATAGGCTAACAATCAAACAAAAGCCTGCCTGATGTTTTTAAAAATTTAATTTAATTATTTGACATCGACTTAAACAAATTGACAAAGTGAATTTAAATTAAATAATTTAAACGTAGATTGAACTAAATAAGTATTAAATTAACTAATCATCTTCAAAATAAGACTTTCAAGATTATTTCAAGGTCATTTTTTTAATAGAAATTACACACGTGTAATTTGAAGCGAATTAAAAGCAAATGCTCAATTAAAAAACATTATTTATTCATTTACTTTACTATTTGTTTAGAAATTGATCAACGTTCGATCAATATTTTTTTGCTTTCTGATTCGTTTGTTTATTTATTGTTGGACTACCAAATCATTTTCATTTCACCAATAAATGACGTTAAAAAACATTTTATAATAAAGTATTAATAACATAAACATAACAAAAGATTGTACAAAAACAATTTTTATAGTGCCAGAATCATTTTGTGGAATGATTTTCAATACTATCAAAAAATAAATTAAGGCAATTGAATTGGGATTGTTCAATAATCTAATCGCTAGTAGTTGATAAAATAATAGCAATATTAATGAACGAAGAAACGATGAATGATCGAAATGAAATGTGAATGCAGTGACATCCTTCCTCAGGCCTTCCTCACGCTACTCTCTCTCCAACGTTCTCTCAAGCAGACTGCCCTCCACTCCACTCGACAGCCTCCACCTGGCCTGGCACACGTGCTCGAATGCAAAGTTCCACGAAGACTTGAAATCATGTGTGTGTGTGTGTGTGTGTGTGTGTGTGTGTGTGTGTGTGTGTGTGTGTGTGTTTCCACGTCAACCATCGCAAACGACACGTTCAGAATCTACTTTTCCTCGGGGCACTTTTGAAAAATAATTTTATCAAAAATTCGCCCCAGACTTTTTGAAAATAATGATAGCAGGAATGATAGTAGTATATTAGTATAGTAATGTAATTATAATAATAGGAATAATAAATAAAATAATAATATAGCAGTACAATAGTATAATATAATAACAAAAAATAAAATGAAAAAAGTTATAAAACAGAAGTTATAAACCTAGACGAACAAATTGTTATAATGACTCGCAAATAATTACAGATGGAAAGATTAACGCCAACAAACCAGATATTACCAATTTGAATGAGACTGAAAATGTATGCCTTCTGATAGAAGTATCGACACTGACTAACTCAAATGTTACTTCGAAAGAAGCAAAAAAGAGTGCAAGTATAAAAATCTAGAAATGGAAGTTTGACGAATGTGGAATGTTAAATGCAAAATAATACCAATAGTTTTAGAAGCTTTAGATATTATTGGCAATGGGACAATAAAAAAAACCTTGAAATGATCCCTGGGATGCGAAAAAAGAAAAAATTCAAAAGATGGCTTTGTTGGGAACAGCGAAATCCTTAGAAAGTTTCTTGCACGATATCCTTAGGACTTAGATGGGCCCTGGAGTCATCTGTAAACAGGCTCAGACCGTGATTAACGAATAATAACAATAAAAGTTAGGATAATATTGAAAAGAATAAATAAATTATATAGCATTTCTGAAATAGTATAACCAAATTATTAACGTTATAAAGATACGAATAATAAAGCCTTAACTTTCAATCCTATGAAGCGAATAAACGAACAAATAAATGAATGCTTGAACGAAAAAGTAGATTAATAACAGATTAAAAATATGCAAATGATTAAAAATATATGAATAAAAACACAAAATAAATGATTCTATTAACATAATTAAAAGCAAATAAAAACATTGAGATCGCAGAGAGAACGGTGGATAGATATGACTGATTAAAAAATGAATAAATAATCTGATGGACGTTAATGAAAACAGTAAACAAACGTATGATATTATTTCTTAGTATTGTGTGAGAGTGTCTGTGAGATTATCCAATATTATAATGGTCGCTATACAAATGTTTAGATAATAATAATAATAATGATAATAATATTAACACGCACACAAATATTTATTTTAGCGAGGGTGTGTACATTCATACCGGGTCAGATGGTAGGCTCTACAACTTGGCTTGTTTACGTGCCAGGACGAAGTTCACCAGGATACTCATTCGGGAAATGATTATGCGATGACGCTGTCTTGGTGTTGCACATTAAAGACGTTAGACATTAAAGCCTTATCACTCGTTACCTCCAGACGTACAGAGAATTTGGAGTAATCCCAAGCCTGAAGAAGACCAACGTAATGGCTCAGGGCGTGCCGACTCCTAAAACAACCATTAATGGACATATATTGGAGGTTGTAGAAAACTTTACCTACCACGGGCCGACCATTTTAAATTTTCTGTTCGTAGATTGGGAAGTCAACAACCGAATTGCCAGGGCGGTCCAGCAGAATCAGTGAGTATGGAACAAGCCCAGTCTAACTGTGAAAACCAGAGTAGCTTAGCATTTTTCTATATGGTTGCGTTACATAAACTGCCTGTTTGAGACGTGAGAAAAAACTCAACAGCTTCCACATGAGATGTTTGCGTTGCCTGCTAAGAATTAGATGGCCAAGACAAAGTTTCTAACACCAAGATGCTGAAGCAAACCGGAATGAGCAGTTTATATGCGGTTCTCACTGAAAAGCGTCTCAGATAGCTCGGCTATGTATAGAGGATGGACAATGGTCGTATTCCCAAAAAACTTCTGTACGGTGAACTGGCTGAGGGATGTAGAACAGGGCGTCTAAGGCTTTGGTTCTGTGACATTTATAAAAGAAACATGAAAAACTGCTCTATCGATTTCATATCTTGGGAGAGCTTAGCAAAGAACAGCGCGGTCTGCAGGATGTCAGTCAAGCAAGGTTCATTGCGTGTGGATATGGAAAGAAACCGGAATGCTGTTCTAAAAAGATCCAGTTGGTCGACATATATATATATATATATATATATATATATATATATATATATATATATATATATATATAATATTTCTTATCATCTCAAACTCTCATTGTACTTTGTGTCTATTTATCACTGATTCATTCAATTACGTTCAACATCACTGCGCCAAGTTTTAACAATTATATTTATTAATTTTTTCTCAAAGTCATTACAAAATTTTGAATTTTTATACGTTGCTGCTTATTTGAAGCAATTACATTTTAAAGGCCCACAATTTATCAACGTTAATTTGCCAAGGGTATGTTGTGAATAGGTTATGTTATTTTTTAAATTTTGTTAACTATAATATATATATATATATATATATATATATATATATATATAATATTACGTATGATGCAAGATTTCATGTTTCAATGTTTACGGTTGTCATAAAGAACTTTAATAAACACGAGGACTGCCACTACACGCCTTCATACGTATGCGTACATACACGCATGCCTGAATTTATGTGCGTATTTATACAAAAATAACTGCATGCGTAAACGCTAGCACACACACACACATACACACACACATACATAAACACACACATACACACACACGCATACACACACACGCATATATAGTTAAAAATATTTAAAAAATAGCATACCATTGGCAAATTAACGTTGAAAAATTATGGGCCTTTAAAATGTAATTGCTTCAAATAAGCAGCAACGTATGAAAATTTAAAATTTTGTAATGACTTCGAGAAAAAATTAATAAATATAATTGTTAAAACTTAGCGCAGAGATGTTGAACGTAATTGAATGAATCAGTGATACTTATCTCCTCAGGGTATTTAGAAAGTACAATGAGAGTTTGAGATGATAAGAAATCTTTTCATTAATGTACTTGTACAAGTATCAAATGAAAAAAAAACATACAAAAGGGATGAGCAGACGTAAAGTTGATATTTGTTAATGGTAGTGAAGAGATAGAGCAAAACATAAGATGCGCGCGGAAGACTGCGGAATTTTTGTGCCAACTAATTCATTAACCGACAGTGCGCAGATTTGTGGACTGATGTCATCATGCTTAGATGGATAGATGGAAACACACAGAAACACACACAGACACTGACACTTACAAACATAAACTCATATGCGTGTTCGTAAGCTGTCCGAACCTGTACAGGATGTTATGAAATTAAATGCACGCCAACAACCGACTTTAAGTGAGTTTATAACGAAATGAGTGCGCAGCCAGAATGAGGCAATCAATGTTTTGATGACGTGAAGCTTACAGGACAGTGTCCAACTATCCAGCAATCTTCATGTTCTGCTATCTCTTGTGATTAAATTTCCATTGCTGATATTCTTAAGTCTTCATTTGAACACGTTCATTTTTAAGAGTACACAACACTAGAACTCTTTACTTCACTCTCTCTCTCTCTCTATCTCTCTCTTTCTCTCTCTCTATTTTTTATTTTCTCTGTATTTCTTTTGCATACATATATAATGTTGGCTCTTGTGTACATATATAATGTTGGTAATAGACCATAATTTTTACAATATTCTATAAATTCTACCGAATGTTTGGCGTTAATATGTTTGTAGTTCGTTTTCTAGAACTACCTTCCTTTTAACTTCTAATTCTCGAGAGAGATGGAGCAGTCGCTGCTCGCGATCTTGTTCGATTGTTAGATTACGTCAGTTGGTCGCAGAACCTCGAGTAAAGGAACTACAAACATATTAACGCCAAACATTCGGTAGAATTTATAGAATATTGTAAAAATACATATATAAATAAATATCACGCCGATGAAATTAAAAATTTAAAATCATTACAATTGTTTCGACTGAGAAACCACGTTTTTCAAATGTGAAAAAGATCAGCCAACATAATGCAATATAATAGTTTATTTGACCTCCAAAAAACAAATCCTAAAATGCAGGATGACTGTGAGTGTCTTCACAGTCAACTTGACGAACATCAAACATGACCTGACTTGCATGTAAAGCAAAGTTAACAAAAGTTTACATAAATCATAAATGTTAGTATGTCAACGGTATTCACAAGTACAATTATATCATACTGTTATAACCGTGCTACCGAACGCACTAGATTCTAGCGTATTCTAGAATGTTCTAGTGACTGGAACGTTCTAGAGTATACTGGAATCGGACCATCTGGAAGAATCTAGAAACGACGCTAGCGAAGAGTACATAAGCGCATGTCGCAAGAGATTCGTGATTAGTGATATTCGTGATTAGTGATGTTCGTGATTAGTGAAATTCGTGATTTTGTGAATAGCCATTCGGTGAATTATTTAAAGCGATATTTGATTTGTTTGTTGACATTGTCATAGCGATCGATTTTGAACGATTTATAAGTTAATTGTTGCGTTAGTTTGAACTTACTGGAAATAAACGATTAGTTGATTTCTTCTGTAAATAAAGTTTAATAACTAATAATAGTTGATTTCTTCTGTAAATAAAGTTTAATGACTGTTTGGAATATTTTATTCAATCGAGGATTTGAACCCGTCGCATCGTAAATCGGTTACGATAGCGAGTATTATAACAATACAAACATGCTTATTTCACCTCGCAGCCATACGAATTACTGTAGTGAAGTTTATATATTTGTTTGTATGTGAACGAAATTTCACTACGATAAGTTTTTTTATTAATTGTATAAGATCATAGTCAGTTTTTATCAGATTGAAGCAGAAATAACTCATTGAAAAAGAAACAAAAACGCATCCAATCCATCAACACCTATTTAAAAACTTAGACATCCATACTCACTTGTAAACATGCACTCTCACTCATACACATTCACCTCGTCTCACACCAACTTACACACACATAAACAAGGACTCATACATATTTATACAACCTCATAAATATACATACCGACTCATAAATATTCAAACCGACTCATGCATATTCATACAACCTCATTAATACTCACAACTCATACATATTCAGGCTAACTCATACATATACACTTACTTATCCAAAATTTACTTACTTATGAAAAAGAATGAAAGTGGTCCTTTAAAATGTGGTTGTGTTGAAGATGTGTTGGAAGTGCATTGAGTGTGAAATGGCAACTTTTTGATACACTTCAAATTCGAATGGCAACAAAATTTGGCCGTACATTTGATTTATATGATTTATTTTCAATTAATAATTAAACTGTCAAACGAAATACACAATTGTTAGAAACCACGACAAAAATCTGCTTATCATTGTTTACGATGTTTCTTAAAACTTGTAGGAATAAATTTTACGAGCGACAAATTTTGTTAGAAACGTTTTAAGTGAGTCATCTGTGGTTCTTGTAACATACATTTCCTGAATTTGTCAACTTTTTAAAATTATAAAAAAAAAATAATTTAGCAAGAATGTCCTATCACTTTTGATCGATGAAGATCTATGAAGATTAAAAACATTCGTCCAAAGGCTTTTTGAACAAAATAAATTTTACTAAAGTTTAAAAATTATATATTATATATATATATATATATATATATATATATATACATTGGATGGAGACCATATTTTATACAATAGGATATGACTTCTACCGAATTGTTGACATTAATCATGCTAATTACTAAATAATAAATTATTGATTAATGCCAACAAATCGGTAGAATTTATGCAAAACTATACACACACACACACACACACACACATATATATATATAAATATATATATATATATATTCTCTTCCTATATATACATATATATATAGGAAAAGAAAGAGATAATTAATTTTACGATGGTTAGTTTTGAAAAATACTATAGAGAAGTCTGTTCGTTACGGTGCGATTTTATTACGGCGGTCAATAATAATTTGAGTGCAGGACTTTAAAACTCCGTCGGGTATAATCTTCCATTAATTGTCTGAACGTGCTGTACTTTCGGATTGATGGATTTTGCTTCATTATTCCGGCGATTTATGATGATGTTTGTTATTGTGGGATTTATGATGGTTTTTATGTTCCCTGTTCAAACCAGATTGAGTTAAACCTTCTTAGTTTGCACGTATTTCTCCATGAGCGACTCTCAAATTCTTTATATCAGAAAATTAATTACAATATTCACTATTTATCGTGTTTTTAATCATAATTAAAGTTTTTACTGATCTATCTAATAGTTACATCAGAGGTTGACAAGACATTTGACTGTGTTGGTGAATGTTGAATAAACTAATGAAAGCTAAGCTTCCCACATTTCATTCTGCCATCATGTGGCGTGGTGGTTAAAAGCGCCTGCCTCCGATGTGACACTAACTAGGTTCGATCGCAAACGAGATCCCGTCTATCATATCCAATGCGTTTGATGTGCGGTTTCACAAATAATAATTATACACGCTGTATGTGCTTATTTTGTTACATCTGTA